ACACTATCTACGAGTTAATGCACTGGGTTTCACCCCCGCCAAATGAACAGAGTGCGTCCCGTCATAAACACTCTCTGCGTTATCTTCGTCCAATTTTTCTCCCTTCATATCCTTGCCGCCCACGCGGCAAAAATGTCAGGAGGGAACAGGTAATACTAATCTGAAGACAGATTTTTCACGTCGCTCCCCATTGCCATCACCTTCTTAGCTGTACTCCTGTTTAAAGGTCTTTATAAAGGTCATAGAGATAGAGATAATAAATGGAAGAAGCAGAGGGTTTTTGTCTGTGTCTTTGATAGCAGCAGTGGTCAGGAATTCTTACCTACAGCTTCAGCTTGAGGAGGAATTGAGGGCTCAATTCTTTTCACCTATTCTCATCTTCTCTGTAAGTTTATTATGCTTTTATGATCAGCTTGAATGGACTTTTTTTTTTTTTGTACATGGTTCTTTTTTACACCAATCTGATTCTAAAATAATCATAGTTTTTTTTATTTTAAATTTGTCACGTTTATTATTATTCTTTACTCTGATTTTTTATTATTTATTAACTTTAATTAATTATTTAATTATAACTCCGTCTTCATCTTTTCTCCTCCATCCTTTCTCTTGCAACCAAAATGAACCCAAATCTTAGTAAATCCATTTCATTTGAGATTACTTATCTTTGATAGTCATTTGTAAAATGTCATACGTGGCCTTTGTATTTATTAAGATTAATTAGATACTTGCACTTGCACCTTCGGTTTAGTGAAGTCAGGTGATGTATAAATGCATTCTTTCACCCCTAAATCAACGATTCAATTTCGATCACTTGTAAATTTGTTAAAAAAAAAAAAAGATTAATTAGATACTTACAAGTGAAACATATTCTCCATCTGTCCATTTGGCAGAATTTTAGCTGACCAAAAATGAAGCTGATCACAGCGCGAAGCTAACTCCAAACTGAAATACATAATTAACTATTAAAGAATCAATCAAATTTTGAATAAATAAATGAGATTTACTAAAAAAACACAGATATAACACTTTCATTATTATTGAATTGACTAAAAAGTTTGTCAAATTCAATCCTCACGTAGAAATTAGATCAACTAAATCAAAGAAGACATCAATCAAGCGTTATTAAATTTCTGGGGTCTATTCTAAAACACTACCTGTATAGGAAATTTTGAACCGGGTAAAAGTGAAGTAATAAAATTATATTGAGTGGGCATATACATCAAAGAGTAATTTCAACAAGTAATTAAGCGATTGAAAGGGAGATATTGCAGAATAAGAAACCAATTAAGTTCCATATATCTCTAAACAAGATTCAAGCCCATATAAGAATCAATAAATACAAATATGGCATAAATTTTGTAGTTGGCATAAAATACGAAGAAGTTCGTGGAGGAGAAAAATTATTGGCAAATGACAATGGAACGTGGGAAACAAAAGGGAAACGACGAGGATGAAGGAAGAATGTTTAAATTGATAAAGGAGTTTTTCTTTAAGAAAATGATCAGGGGATTTTTTTTTCAAAAGAGAAAAATTGAAGAAAAAGTTTACAAATGTCGACAAGTACATATATGATATTTTTCCAAAATGACTATTAAAGACAAGTAATCTTTCAATGCACTTTAAAGAACTTTAGTAGGAGCATTTCCACAAAATTAATACAAAATTTGGATTCTTTACTAAATTAAGAGAGAAAGTAGAGAATTTTTCCATTTGTTTTTAAGGTCTTTCTAGCTGTCTAGCTTATGTTGTATTTATTATTTTTTTATTATTAATTTATATAAAAATTTATGAAAATAAATTTTATATTTAACTTAACATCTCATAAAATGATGTAATTAGATAATTAATAAATTTTAAATTAATTTTTATATTTTAATATAAATTAATATTAAAAAAATCTTACACTCTTACCTTGTATCCCTGTTTTAAAAAATTCCCTTGTTTTTTTATATCATGCCTTGCTGCTATATATGTAGGTTGAAATATGATCCACTCAATGTACTAAAATATCTTGTCCAGATGAGTGTTGTACAATGCAATTATACGTGTAGGCGGCGTTTGGATGTGGAGGAAAATTTCCTTTCATTCTCGGGTTGTTTAGTGTTGTTTATGTATTTTCACATTTTAAATTATAACAAAGAAAAGGTAAAAATAAAATTTTTATCTTTTATTTTATCTCACGTAAATCTAACTAGTAAACTTTCTTTTTACATTTTTTGAAGAGACAAATTTTTTTCTCTAACTTCCTTTATATGGAAACCGTATAATAATTTTTGGACAATTATTTTTATGTCAATTTCTTACAATGACAAAAAAACTAATATATCAATTTTTTTTGTATTGTACTTTTTACCTTTTGTACTGTACTTTCTTAATAAAATTGGCTTCTAACTAAATAGGCGCTTAATAGTTGCAAAGCTGGTTTGTGTCTGTCTTTGATAGTTGCCCCGCTCTTGAATTCTTAATTAAAGCTGCAGCTTGGAGAGGAAGGATTTAAGATCATCTCTTCATTCATCATCTGTAGGTTTGATGTGGCTAATTTACTCTATGCTTTTATTTGTAAAAGACTAAATTACTAGACCTTTGAACAATTAGAAACGGCTGCGATATCCTTTGCTTTGTAGAAAAGTTTGAATCTAAGCTGTTGTTTTATTTCATTTTTGATAGAGTACAATGGCGGCAGGAAACATTACCTCGAATGTCATAGTTCCTCAAGTTCTTGCAGAAAGCAATTACGAAGAGTGGAGCATGTGTATGAAAAACTATTTAATTGCTCATGATCTTTGGGATGTTGTTGAAGAATCAAGCAATGTCAATACAGCGGACAAGGTTGCAGCTGGCTGGAGGAAAAAGAACGCTGCAGTTCTACATGCCTTTCAAATCTCATGTGCACCTGTAATTTTTGCCCATATAAAGGGGGTCAATTCAGCTAAAGATGCTTGGGGCAAATTAGCTGAAAGATATGAACTTAAGCAAAAATGGCAATTGCTAAGGAAGGGAAGATCAAGTGAAGAGTTAGCAGATATAATACAATGGTTTCAAGGAACCACCCCAGATTTTCAAGGAACCATCCCAGGTTATCCATCTGATTTTTTCAAATCTTTACATTTTATGCTTAATTTAAGGTATCCTTTATTTCATTAGATAGCTACTTACTACATGATGGTTAATTATTACGTGAAAGTGGAATGTTACCTGAATATCTCAATTTATTTCGCATTTTAATTGGTTTTATTCTTCATATATTTATATATAGTTTTATTTATATTTTATCGGTCAAAATAAAAAACTTACATTAACAGAGAGTATAAGGGGACGCAAAGTCCCCTACTTGATTTTATATACTTATAGTTTAATGAGAATTATGAAATTGTGTTATTTGATCTGAAGCTGCAATATTATTTCATTTTTTGTCCTATCTGCCAGGAGCATCCGATTGCATTGACAGGTGTACCGTTATAAATATGTACATGTCTATTTTTTCGGAAAATGGTTGGAGTGCTGTAATGGAACTTATAGAGAATCATCCAGCTGCAAAAACTGCAAGATTTCTGCGCAAAGGTTTCCCCATTCTTAATATTGTGGTTTTGAGTGGTAATTTAACAAGGGTTGAACAATTGATAGAGAGAATGTCAAAAAAGGAGCTGGAAACAACAACAGATCATGAGGGTAATACAGCTCTTGCAATTGCTGCAATTTTAGCCTCAACGAAGATTGCAGGGTGCTTAATCAGAAAAAACCGGAATTTGGTCACCATACCAGATAACAATGGGATGATTCCAGTTGTGAAGGCAAGTTACTACAGATATGACGAAATGACAATGTTTCTATACTTGAAGACTCCAATTGAATCCCTGGATCCAGCCAATGGTGGCTATGGTTCCTTACTACTTCATTTCTGTATACTTAACAAAATGACTGGTAAGGGTTAATTATGAACTTAAAAACTTTTTTCTTATATATTGTTTAAGTAATTTTTTTTCCATTTTCTTCCGACATGGATACAGATATTGCTTGGGATCTACTGGACCATTATCCGCGTTTGGCATTCACTAAATTTAAAGTCAATAATCAGGAGTCGACTCCAATTATGACATTGTCTGCTCAACCTTCTTTGTTCCGTAGTGGAAGTGAGCTTTCAATTTTACAACGGTGGATATATTCTCGTCAGTATCACTCCCGATATTTTTCTCATTTGTCACTCATATCTGTTTCAACTATATATTTTATATTACTTGCAAACTATATATAAAACCATAAACAAATCGAAATTAAGGATAAAATATATAATGAGTCTGGGTGGGT